TGGTTTGCAGTACCAAAGTATAAAGGGACGAATGCCAACCATATTACGCAAGTAGTATACATAGTAAAACCTTTAAAGAAAATGTTGTTTTTTTTTTTTTTTTTTTTATGTTTCCCAACAGTTTTTGTTGTTGGCCAATTGCATTGCCAATTATTTGCTTACCTATATGCTTCGATTCATTGAAAGCTTCCGGTATTTTGCGCGTTAACACAGCATATACCGTACAGATAACAATCAAAACAATGGGATAAAAAAATGCTATCATGTATGAAGCATCTATATAAGAATCGCAAACCAAAAGATTATCTTCCCGCGTGGGATGATGGTACATGGCATGCGAAGGTGCTATAACCATCCATACTCCGTTGATTAGAATCTATTCAATAATCAATGATTGTTTTTGTTCTTTTGTTTTCTTTTTTGATTTATTTTTGTATTTTTTTGTTTTTTTTTGTAAACATTTAACTAAATTCCATTACCTGTATAAATATTAAGCCAGAACAGATGACCAGTTGCGACTTAGGGCTTATAAATGACGGTCTTTTAGCTGATTGTTTGCCTGCTTTAAATATGCGAGCTATACGATTGGTTTTGGTTAAAAGGGCGGCATAAACTACCGTAAAGCAGAAACCAACGCCGAACCTAAAAGAATAAATATTTACAACAGTAACTACAATGCACATGGAAAGTGTGTAAGTGTTAAAGTTTTACAATATGACTGAGATTTTCTTTTAATCCTCTTTATCATTGCCTATGCTTACGAGCTAACGGGATTTCTTAACTTTGCCGATTTGCTTCTCATTCTCAGTATCTTTCCCTATATATTTTTTCACGGCAATCTTTTGTAACCTCGTTCCGTCGTACTTCCACACTTATCAGATCAATAACTGTTTTAAGGACATTATCGGACACATCTATTATATATATTCTTACATTCTGTCAACCCTAAGGATTAAGAGGTAAATGTTAACTTTATGCAGTGGTTTCTTATTGCCATGCTGACATACGAGCGGGCACACGATCCTGCTTAAAACTAGTAAGACAACTTACAGTCATATGCTAAGCAGCATCACAGAAACGTCACAAGATCTACTTTTAGAGGTGATTTTCGTTTTCCCTTCTTTTATAACTCAATAGATATTAGGGAGTTTGTAGTGGTTATATCTCAAAATCGGGTACCAAGCAGATTGTATGTCGCAAGGGCAGAATATGGCTGTTGGCATGCCTGGCTTCTGCTTTATGCTTAGTACACACTATCCAGAATATATTTGATAGTTCGGTGACGAATGGAAATTCGGCAAAACTTCTACCTTAGGGCGAGAAAATGTTCGCTTCGGTTCACTTGCGAATGGATTAGTGTCGTAAAACACTTATGTTATTGAAGTCGTAACAGCGAGATCTTTGTAGTGGTAATTGTGAAAAGTTCTTAACCGATATCTGCTATAAATTAGTTCTGTTTACCCAAACCTTTTTGAAGCAAAATTTGATACTTTAACTTGACCTCTGGCGGCAGCTGATTAGGCAGCTGAAAATCAGAAAGTAAATTTCTAATATTAAGGCGATATGTAATTGACCCAAGTCAACAATTAGCAGATTATCTAGCGACTCAACGCATGCGAAGCCGTGCTCCTCATAATCGATTGACACATCGGTCAACAACTTGACCAACCCTTTGACATATCATTTGGCTTAAGACAGGCGTTTCGTTAAGAGTTCGCTCATGAAATGAGTTGCTCGGGACAAGCGTTGTTTTGTTCATATTTTTCCTCTGGTGT